TTTACTAGAAGCATTTTGAAATCTTTAATAACCTAGAATCACTTTTACAAGCTTTTTTAACCATTCTAAAAGCACTTTCGAACAGCCCATGACGGGTTTGTCTGCCATGGGTTTTGTATGATACTTCTTGGTGTATAGGACTATAGGTTGATAACCATTTGTGAAGATACATATGCTGCAGGAGCAGAAGGTGAGCTCCGAGTTGAAGAGGTCCTGTAATACACTGGTGAAGATTTACAGGTCACCACACATGCTTCTCAAATACACGAAAACCGGCCATGGAAAACACCGGCAGTCGTGCTTGTTCTTCATTTTTAGCACAGTTCGCCTAATCGCAGAGGGTTTAGTGGTTGCCCGTACACAAAGTATACTTCAATACGATTTCGAGAAAAAAACCATACGACAGTATTGACAGAACAAGATTTTTCAGTAAACTTTTGTTACTTCTCCTTGTAACACAAAGACTATATATCACTTGAATCTCTTGAAACGAAAATGAATACACGAAAAATCTAAAAGCCGAATAGGGGCATTTCGACTGATTTTCCTACATAAAACAGTACCAAAGTAACAAAACACGATGGAAACCCAAGAAATACAACTCCGCGAGTATCATTTTCGGATCCTTTTCAGAAATAGACCGAAGACATTTATCCGAATAACCTAGCAGCTGAAGTACAACAGAATTCCAGCATGAGCGGGGCTGGAGTGTATCAAAATTTCAACGCGCTATCAGGACGGACAAGAGACATCATTTCTGCACAAAGCAAAACCTCCCAACAAAATTTTCTCCGGTGATCTTTCAACATGAGCTACTCAACATCTTCTTCACCAGCGATATCAGCACTTTGATCCTCATTCTTTTTCGTTTTAATTTTTTTGTGGCTGCTATCAGAACCCTTTTTACCAAAAATCTCAGGAACGGTGTCTTCCATTACCTTTGGGGCTGCAAAGTCGAAATCTGAAGCGGATATGCCTTCAAACATGGGGTTTTCTTTTAAAAACGCTGCCACCTGATTTTGTGATCTCAATCTTTTCCCCGTGGGTGTAATATAATACGCATCCAGTTTGGAATAATCTTTTCTAACCACCAAGTGTCTCTTGAAACCTTCTGGGGTCTTCGGAAGGTCAGGCTTATCAATGACCCAGGTCCTAGTAGCGTTGTACTCAATATCGGCAACATCGTCACAAGTCACACCAGATTTCTTGTTGCAATAAAAGGGTTGCGTACTGATTTTGCTCCTGATTTCCTCAAACTCTTCTTCTGAATGAATCACTCGCCATTTCTTGCATTCTGCACATTGTGCAGCATATACATCAATCGAACTTGTCGCTATATTTGGTTTCTGTCAAGAGAATCCAAATGGATTTAGCACATTCAAAGATTTAGTCCTCCAAATCACTACCGAATGCAAAACCCAACAATAGCATTTCATCAAACTACTCATTGAAATGAAATTCAAAATCCTAAAAGAAGCATATGTACCAAATAGCATACAATTATAAGAACACAATAGAAAGTGTGCAATGTATCCCAACCCCAGTTCAATGTTATGCCAGAGCTCGTTTGAAAATGCTTTTAAAATAGCTGAAAGCGCTTTTGCTAAAAATGTTTTTCCTCAGTAAAAATGAAAGTAATCCCGGAAAAGCACTTAAAAGTGCTTCCTGAAAGAAGCACATAATTGATACTTCTTGCAGAAAGCACTTAGTACTTTTGTAACCCAATAACATTTCTCTAAAAGCGCTTTCAGTCAATTTAAAATCACTTTCAAATGAGCCCTAAGGCTTCTCGATATGAGCATTCATCGTGCAATAATCGTAGTTACTCCAACACCAACCCCACTTTCATGCTACGCTAATTGCTACAGGCTCCCTGGCATGAGTGTAGATATAATCCATCTTATCGTGCAATAATCACAGTTACTCCAAACTGAACTTCTTAAGAATCTTGCCGACTCTCTGAGCTAAACACTTTCAACAACATTTATGCAGTTAAAACAACAACACATTGCTCACCACTTACCATTAAATTGAAGAAGCACATTTAACACATAAATTACGCGCATGCTTCGAAAAAGTTTCAAAATTTAAGATCTAAGATTATATGATAATCCATCCCCCATAACAAAAGTTCCATAATTCTATCTTTGCTAAATTTTAACATTTTACTGACATTAAAAAATTAATGTGAATTGGGTCAATTAGCACTAAATCCTCAGTTAATTATTCTTCAAAAACTCAGAAACCCAATTCCGATGAGCAATTTCCAATGACATGCAGAGCCTTTTCGAGCTCGATTTCGAAAGATTTTCCATCTGGGTTCCGATGAAAAGAAAATTCAAGCACAAACGAATCTGGAAATGCAATCACATTAAGCTGGAATCAGTTTAAATTTATGTTCTTTCAGCTCCCAAATTACTAATATAAATGAAAAAACAAAAGACCCTTTATTTTCTTCTCAGTTTCTTACATTTTCCCGCGTTTTCTTGGCAACCAAACAGACCACGATTTTAAAATTTCACCGGCAGCGAACGAAAATCAGATGAAATATTGACATGGGTGAAAATATTGGATCGAGGATTCTATTCATACCTTGGACGACGACGTTTTAGTCGCTTCTCGGCCGTCCATTTAGTGCTTCGCCGGCCGCTGAAAAATTCTCTCTTTTTCTGAATCTTGCCGAACAGCCGGAGGAGGAGGATGACACCATATGCGCTCAATTCGTTTCCTCCGTTTATATTTGGACCCGAATGACGGTTTACCCTTTAAATGTCTACATCTTGTATTAAAAATTAAAAATTAAAAATTAAAAATAATAATAATTCAATGAATTATGACACAAGAAACGTTGCCTCATACTATATAGTACGGTTTAGTGATATTCATCTTCATTTGTAAGTGAAAGGTATTAAGTTTGATTTTCACTAAATGCGAATTTGAATCACATTGTTATTAGCACATTATGAGGCTTAACCTGATTTCTCATCCTTTTAGTTTAAATAATATCATTTATTAAAAACCAAATGTTGCCTTGTATCAAACGGTGTGTCAATTTGAATTTTAAAGGATAACAATCTTTTTTTTTTTTTTTTTTATCGAACTCGGGACATATGAGTATAAATTAAACATTCTATCCACTAGTATATTAGACAACATGCGATAATTCATTTCTTTTGTAAATGCACCCACATCAAAAAATGATTTGCTTCATTTGGACTTAATAGAGATTATTTTCCAAAATCATAATTACAAGAATTATTTTTTTAATCTCTACAATTAAAACAATATACAAAATAAATCAAAAAGTAAAAACCAGCAATTACTATCCTTAAATGATCATTATCCAAAAGTGTATAATGGGGATTCCTTTTAATTATTCGGGTAATGCCATGTACATCGAATTTGTAGACTAAATAATATGTTATTAATTTGAAATAAACACATTAATTAACATTTAAGTAATAATCTAATCATAAACAATCACATCATTTAATTTACGAAATATAATTTAAAATTTAGCCTCCATAGCATTTAATTTTTCCAAATTTGTATCTCGATATACATGGATGTGAAAAATTAGCAAAAATGTTAACTCTCCAAATTTGTGTTTTTGCTTATGCTTACTCTAAATTAAGTTCATTTGGTCCCTCAAAACCTAACATTTACCAAAAATGTTAACTTTTGAAATTTGTGTTTTTGCTTATGCTTACTGTAAATTAAGTTCATTTGGTCCCTCAAAACCTAAAATTTTGAAGATTGGTGCCCATGAATACTCCATATATCATCATTGTCGCCACCACAAGCACAAACATTACTCACTACCACAATGAACACATATCCACACTTAAATGGGTTTCCGTTTAACTATATGGATCTTTTATGTACAATAGAGATTCTCGACCTTGAATTTAGCGTTTCGTTTTATTATATTAGGATGAATAAAAGAACTATAAACTAATCATGATTTGATTATCCAAAATTTAGTGTTGGCCTTCATATTTGTTGTTTTATGAATCCATGTTACTTATGAAGCAACCAAAACTCATTGCCTATACTTAATTATAAAATGTTACTAGTGCATGTACCTAATTATAAAATTGACATTGAATGTGGTTTTCCCATTCAACAAGTTAGTGAAAGTCCAAGCCATCCATTAACATATTTGTTTATTTTAATACAATTTAATTCGTAAAGTCATGAATAAAAAAGTTACATATAAAAAAGAGAAGAAACCTGTCACATCCCCGTCCGGGACGGATCACTTCCCGGGCACGCTCCACCACCGTAGCACGATATTGTCCGCTTTGGGCTTACCATTCCCTCACGGTTTTGTTTTTGGGAACTCACGAGCAACTTCTCAGTGGGTCACTCATCATGGGATTGCTCTAGCTCCCTTCTCGCTTAACTTCGGAGTTCCTACGGAACCCGAAGCCAGTGAACTCCCAAAATGCCTCGTGCTAGGTAGGGATGGGAATATACACTTAAGGATCACTCCCCTGGGCGACGTGGGATGTTACAAAACCAATACGATCTCAACTACCCCTTAATTAATATATTTATGAATTTCATATATTAAATTACAAGTTGTAATAACTGTAGGGGAAATCAATAATTTACATATTAAAATACATGAATTGACTGATTAAGATAACGCATGAAGCGAACTATTATGAAGGGAAATGATTGAGTTGAGTTAATTGACATATGTAAGTTGGTATTTGACAATCAAAAGAAAATTAACGCACAAAAACGAATGTGCAAAATAAAAAAATATGTGTGTGTAAAAATCGCTACCCTAATTAACATAGGGTCTGTATTTTATAACTTATTCCATATAAAAAGCAAAAATTGGGCCTAAAGATGCCATGTGCAAAAGCTAAGGATCAAATTTTATTTGGTTATGTGACTCCGCCATACTCCATGCCAAACCAACTCCGTTTGACCAAAAAAAGTAAAAATCCCCAAAACCCCAAACGCTTGTTCACAACAGAAGCTCATTCTCTCCCTCACTCTCTCTCTCTCTCTCTCTCCTCGCCACTCGCCCCCAACTTTGTCCTCGTCTTTATCGTTACGCTGCTGCTTTTTTCCGGCGACCCAAAAACCGCAGCGCTCGCCCGGTACGCCTCTTCGATTTTGGGTATAAAGTTCCAATTTTTTTTTCATATGGGTTCTTACTTTTGCTGTGTACGTTAGAGATTTTGCACCCACCGGGATCAAATTTTGGTGGGTTTTGTGAATTGGGCATCGAGTTTCTGATGCTTTTGGAGAAATGGGTTGTCGGTGATGTTTTGGTATTTCAGTAGTTGGACTTGTGTGGCTGCATGCGTTGTTTGATTTCTGCTGGGTTTAGCTAACTGGGTTGTGCGGTTAATCTGTTTGTTCTCCAACTTTCGTACGATTTAAGTGCTTTTAGGTGAAGTGCTTCCTGTACCTATTTGTTCTGTCTTAGTAGCTGAGAGGTATGAAATTTGATAGTATTTCGTGTTAATTTTTAATTGAACTTGAAGAAGGAGGAATGCATATCTTGCTTGTGATTATTTATTTGATAAATCGAAGAATTTAAATTTTAGGGATTAATTGTGAAATTTTTTGGAATATGATTGCACATTTCTCTTTTGACAAATTATTTATTATTGTTTTTGGTCAAGATTCTCAGTTTTTGTTTATTTATTTGTTTTGTTGGTTGGGTCGTGTAGGGTTAATTGATTTAGAAGGGACCGGTGAAAATACTGAGGAGTTAGTTCTTGTTGTTCGTAGTAAGAAAAAAATGGTCAACAGTGGTACCCGGAAAGGCCGAGGGGCATCCTTTGGAAAAGGAAGTAAGAACAAGAGAAAATTAGCTGACCCTTCTCCAGAGAATGCAACTAAACCCGGTTCACCCCTAACTGTAACCCCTCAGAGTGAATTACCTTTGGAGGAATGCCAAAAATTGAGTGACAATGAGTCAGCAGAGGCTGGGGTGGTTCAGCCCAAAGAAGAAGTGGAAGTGGGAGATTTTGAGTGTGCAGATTGGGATGACCCAATTGTGTGCCAGCTTGAAGAACTATTGCTGTCTTATTTGCAAGCAATTTTCCGGAGTGCAATTAAGCAGGTAGCTGAACATGGGTACAGTGAGGAGGTTGCTGAAAAGGCTGTTTCGAGAGGCGGCCTTTACATTGGTGGTAAAGACCCTCTAGAAAGTATTGTTAGTGATACTCTGGAGTTTCTTAAGAAAGAGAAAGATGTTGATGCCTCAAATGATCAGTTTTTTAATTTGCAGCACCTGGTGGAATACACAATGCTAGAAATGATCAGTGTGGTTAGGGAGGTCAGGCCATCGTTATCAGTTGCCGAAGCAATGTGGTGGCTGCTGATATGTGACTTGAACATTTTGCTAGCCTGTACATCGGAAGGGGATCCATTTAGTGCTCTTGGTTTTGAAGAATCCTCTGATTCTTCTTCTCCCCAATTAAGCTCAAAGGCAGACGAAGCAAATCCCTCAAAGCCACCACCTGCCCATGCTCAAAAGAATCCTCCTGAAGCACTCAAATTTGGAAGTTTCCGTAAACATTCTCATGCACCCGAAGAGGTAACTTCTGAGAAAGATAGTTTGTCATCTATGCTAGATAGTCTGGAAAAATGCTTAGGATTCACTGGTGAAAATGTCCAATCAATATCTCAGACATCTACCTCTGAAGAAAAGTCAGGAGCTCTAAAGGGGCGCACCAAGAAAGAATTAGCAGCACTTCGGAAGAAGTCCGTCCATATGGATCGAAATTACAGCGCTTATGAGAAAAGAGGAGGCTTCAAATCAGGGAAAGTCACGATTGGTGGTTTTGTTCTAGAGAAGAGGCTAAAGCCTCCTCCTGAAATTCCCGATGAACAAGCAACAGTTGCATCCTCAAAGTCAAGTGCCAAAGCTGGAGCCACCATCCCTTCTTCTGATGGAAGACATCATGCTTCAACCAAGATTTCATCTGCTTCGCTAGCAACTGGTGGCACAGTAACATTACCTATATCTTACTTGCGACCCGCAGATCCCAAGCTTTCCCAGAAGTCTTGTTTGGAAAAGAAATCTGGACCTAAGGCTAAGACCCCGGCATCCCCCAAGAATCATGATTGCTGTGCTGGTTTGCCATGTGATGACAAGTCTCTAGGAAAGGATATCCCAAGAGATGAGATTGATGAGCTGTTTTTGAAGGCAGTTCCTCAGCTGAAGGATCTTGTTCCTCTTGATTACTGTGCTGGCATCCCATATGACAAGTCCCTAGGAAAGTATGTCGCGCAAGATGAAAGGGATGAGCTGATTTTGAATCTAGTTCCTCGGCTGGAGGAGCTGCACAATGAACTAGAAAGCTGGACTAATTGGGCCAATGAGAAGGTCATGCAGGTTTCGCATAGGCTTGGTAAGGAACGACCTGAACTTAAAATACTGAGGCAAGAGAAGGCAGAAGCAGAGAAATTTAAAAAGGAGAAACAAATGTTGGAGGAGAACACGGTGAAGAGAATCTCTGAGTTAAAGAATGCATTAAGTAATGCAACTGACCAGGTTGAGAAAGCTACCTCTAAAATCTGTAGGCTTGAGTTGGAGAATTCCACTCTGAAAGAGGAATTGACTGCTGCCAAAAGAATGGCTGTAGAGTCCGTTGCACGTAACCAGGAAGCATTAGAGAGGGAGCAGAAGGAACTGAAAAGGGCCCAGGTATGGGAGGGGCTGAGGAGCGCATTGCAGGAAGAGCTTGAGACAGGAAAGAAGAAGGTGGCTCAACTGCAACAGGATTTAGGCAAGGCAAAAAATGTCCATCATCAAATCGAGGTATGCAACTTCAACATGTAGATATAACAGTTACCTTTCAAGATTATGTTTTGTGAACAGGTGAACAAGGGCATAAATTCATGACAAGAATCGTGGGGCCTTGTTTTTCAGAAAATTGTTTGCTTGCCGTGCTGCTAAGTCAACATTTGTTCTCACTGAGCATAATAATTAATAAGGAAGCTAGTTTTTCAGAATGAAGAAATAAAGAAAATTTAGTACAGGCAAACACACGTGTAATACTAGCTTTCTTCTAGTCAATTTTGTGCTGGTATAATTTTATGGCCCGTTGCATATTTGGTAATATACATTGCTGTTCTGGTTGTTATTTCTCACTAGTATTACTAAATTTTACAGGCTAGATGGAAAAGTGAGAAGATAGAAAAGGAGAAAATACTTGCGCAGGCTGACTCCATAAGAAAAGAAAGAGAACAATGTGAAGCTTTGACAAAATTGGAGGAGGACGGGATCAAACTGAGCGCAGAATATGATATGCGGGAGTATATGGAAGACATTAGAAAAGTTGAGAGCAAGTTATCAGAACTTAAGTTGAAGTCCGACTCCTCAAGAATTGCAGCACTAAGAAGGGGCGCTGCCGGAAGCTTTGGAGGTTCCCCGTCAGACAGAAAAGGTGGGCTGGCAACAAAGGGAAACCAAAACGCTGCAAGCTCCAAGAAGGTAAGGAATTCCCCGGATTTGAGACAGGACCGTGAGTGTGTGATGTGCCTATCTGAGGAGATGTCGGTGGTGTTCCTTCCGTGTGCACATCAGGTTGTTTGTGCAGATTGCAATGAGCTTCACAAGAAACAAGGAATGAAGGATTGCCCTTCTTGTAGGACCCCGATTCAGCGGAGGATCAATGTGCGGTATGCTCATCCATAGCGTGTAAACTTTCTAGCGAGAACGGTGACTGGATCAATGGAGGAGACAGTGCCAAACTCATTCCTGCTATATGGTGGAATCTGTCCTCCTGTTTTTCTGGGTCACTGTTCAAATAGTTTAGCTCCAAAAAGATACAGATACAGAAGAGTTTGTAAAGGGTAGGAAGTTGGTTTTTTCGTTTTATGAAATTTGCCTTCTGCAGTGCCCCTTCATTCTGTTTCTTTTCAACCTGATTTTTCTGACCTAAAACAAAATAAAAAGAACTTAATTGTTACAGTTTTCGTCTCGTTTGGTGCCCGGAATTGGGTTGGATTGGATAGTTTACCGTGAATTTCATTTACGTTGAAGGAAGAAATAAAGAAATTTTTTTTTTTTCAGGATGAACTACAATATGAATTTCTATTCCTGCAATGGAAAAAAAAATATATCATTCACCTCTACCTTTGACCGCAGATTTTTGTGATGCCATGTGGTTGTAATTTATGTGGTCTTTTAACATATTTTAAATAATTAGAAAACCATTTACCCGAAGTCGATATGTCCGAGTGGTTAAGGAGACAGACTTGAAATCTGTTGGGCTTCGCCCGCGCAGGTTCGAACCCTGCTGTCGACGACTTCCTTTTTATTTTTTATTTTTTTATTTTTTTATTTTGGTTTAATTCTGCTTTACATATTTCAAAGCCTCAAAATTTCATATCAGCAAGTTAATAATTCTTTCTTATGAAATTATTTACTTACAGAAAAATAACGCTCGTATCAAAGAAGAAGACAACTCCACAAGTATCCACCCACACTTTTTAACCTGCACTATTTGAAAGCAAATGCAGAAGATTCATCCAAAAAAGTTGAAACTAACTTCTATCGGTCGTTGTAAGATCACCAATATTATAACTCATCGATCAATAACACTACAACCATGAGCTGGTGATCCAGTGATAAAGAACGGATTGCGAGGTTTCCTTCAAACTAAAAACTGGAGGTCTCAGGTTTGAAACCCGCTGCCGATGTGAAAACCAGACTTGTGGTCAGAGGAAGGCTGAAATGCCTCTGTGAGTCAATAAAAGTCTCTGTCTTGCGCGACTTATGCCTCACCTAGGCAATAAACGACTGACCACCGTCCCGATTAAACCCTAGGCGTTTGAAAATTAAGAAAAGGTGCCTAGATCTGCATAGGCGCCCATTGAGCTCACCTAGGTCGCGACTCTCACGTAGACAGGAAATAGATAATTTTCATTTCGCAATTTATTTTTTTAACAAATTGTAAGAGAATTGTTTAATACTTGGATGAACACTCATTATATATTTGTTCCTCATGTTTTCCATATGTTCTAATACTTAATAATTCTTGACATTTTATTTTGCAATTTATATATTCAATACAATTATGTATTTTTTAAAATATAAGTAGACATTTATTTATATGTTATATAATAAATTTAATTTAAATTAAAAAAACCACCTAGGCACTAGACCCTTACCCACTGCCCGACTAACGTCTAGCACCTTTTAGAACTTTGTTAATGCTACATGTGTTTTAGTCGTTAGATTTAATTTCCACAACTATTAAATCTTTTATTTTCAACCGTAACCATTCATTTTTCGCACCACTCAATGTTTAGTACTACTTAAAAACTGCAAATCTTTGGGGCATCTGGCCATGTGAATTAGGCTTCTAAAAATACCCATCAAGTTAAAGGTGGGAAAAACAACATCCATACACCATTGAAAGCTCTGGCCATAAATAGGCCAATGATTGGTTCATTGTCTCATAAAAAGCTACCTACTATTTGCACCAACAGGATCATTTCCGGATCCTTTTGGAGAGGATCTTGAAAATCCGTAAATTGTGTTCGATCATCGTAATCAAGCGATCAATTTTTATCACGTATAGTTTGTGTTTAATTTTAAATAAAAATATTAAAAATAATTTCTGACCGCACGATGTATGATGAACGGACACGATTCACGAATCCTCCGGATTCTCACAAAGAGGATCCGGATTCCTAATTGCATAGCATGATACAGTGCCAATCAATATTTATTCTCTTACACAAGAATATCGAATATATTTCTTGATCTGACACTAAGATGTATTTTGTCGTCATGCCAATTTCATTATAGTTTAACCTAAATATTTTAAGCATATCCGAATTCGATCAGTTGATCAGAATAGTTTGTTCATTCCTCTTAATTAAACTCATATATCATAAAAATAAAATAATTTAGAATATTAAATCGTCGAAAGAAACCCTAAAGCCCAAACCGACCAGATTGACCCGCTTGGTTTGCCACAAATTCAGTATAATTGCCTAATTTCTTTGGTTTTGTAACTGAATTGATCTAGTTGGACGTCGAACCGGTTTTCAAAATCGATAGCTGTCGGTGCAACATAACCGGCCGAAGTCATAAAAAAATATGCCAAAACTCAAAAGAGCCAGGAGTATTCGGACCCTTCAATGCTATGTCATATGCATGATGAAATTGTGCCCAGAAAGTAAACCCTACATGCATGTTAGAAAGACCAGTAGCCAGCTGACCTTCCGCTAAAAACCAAAACTGAAAAACCCTACTTCCCATGATCTCTAGCAGACAACAAGAACATCTTTAATAATTCCACACTCACGGATCTCTCTCTCTCTCTCTATACGTAGGAGAGACAAAGACAAGGACAGGCACTTAGATATATATATTCTCACTGCTCGTTTCCGTCTTTCAAAAGCGAAAATACTAAAACTGCATTATTTGATATCAGTGTGATAAAATCAAGCCTTTGAGGCGCGCCTAGCTAGCCGGCCTTCGGGGAGGGGTAGTGAAAAGACGCCTCTGCCTAGCGAGAGTAGGCTTAAACTTGCTACTCTCGCTAGACGCATGAGGCATTAGTTGGGGCCTTTTTTTTTTTCAAGGTTAGGTTTCTCTCCGACGGTGAAGAAATTTTTTATTTGATTGTTGATTATTCTAACATAATGTTTGATTTCGACTCTATTATTAATTATATTATAAATATATATATGAAAACTTTAACGAAAAACCACATTTTTATACTAAAAAGTTAATCCTGGTACTATTCATTTTACCCTTTATTTTGTCCTTATCGTTAAAACTTAAAGTTTTCAAACAATTTTTGTAACAGCCCGTCCCGAAACGTACATTTGAAATTACAATTTTACCCCCTAGTTCGTTAAACTTACGTGTAGTTTTGTGTTGTGTGGTGTAGTAGGACCACACACACACTCATACACCTCGTCTCACTCCCCCGGGATTCCCTCATTCCCTGTCTCTTCCCTGTCTCTTTTCTCTCTCTCTCTCACTCTCCCCGAGTTCTTCTTCTTCTTCCTTCTGCAAACACACAGACACACATACAAACATACTCAAACCTTCACCAATCAAGAAACCAAGACCACCCTCGTGTTCGTGGAGCTGAGAGGAGTCCAGTGGTGCCATTTTCAGGTAAGGATATAGTTGTTTTCACGTTGATATCACCATGGCCGAATTTGAACACTGTTCATGCAAACCTAATCTAGCTTGTTTTAGGAGATTCTAAGCTTGTAGTTGTGTTTGTGAGGTTCCCAGGAGCTTGGGAGTGTTTCGTTGGACGAGTTTGGACGTCGGGAAGGCTAGGTTCGAAGTTGGCCGAACTTGGATCGTTGTTGCAGGTGAGATTCCTTGATTTTTAGGCCTTAAAACTAGTCTAACGTTGTTCTACTAGTCCTAAGCTTCATTTTGGTATAAAGATCGTGAAAAATGGTTGAAAAACGAAGGAGAAAACAAAGCTTGAAAAATTCCCAGTTTTCCGGCGACGGCGACTGGCCGGAGAAGGAAGGGGAATATTCCGTTAAGTTTAACGGAATATTCCTAACGGCAGTGACGGCGTCAGTTAACGGAATATTCCGTCAGTTAACGGAATATTCCTGACGGCGTCAGTTGACGCCGTCAGTGTGCAGTGCACGTGGCTGCGCGTGGGTCCGTGCCTGTTCAGGCGCGTGGGGGCGCGTGCGTGGTCCAAAAATTATTTTAAAAATATGGGTGTGATCCTGAGGTTGTGTAGATCACGTTGGTATATTCAATTGTCCAATTTGAGCAATGTATGAGAAGTTATTACGAGAAGTTGCTTAGGTGCTTTTAAATTAATGTTTTCGTAACTTTGTCGCGTATAGGTGATTCGTTTTCCGAAGACGAGCGTACACACTCGAGGCAGGGGGGCTACGACCCTTCTAATTACCAGTGAGTGGGCTTTTGTTTTCCGTATATACCTATATACATATTAATTCCCAGAAATTAAATAGAAAAGGTTAATTGTTTTATGCCATGCATCATATGAATATTGTTTACTCATCATCGCATGTATTAGTAACGGCATACATTTATATATGTGTATTTGGTGCGGTGGACGCACAGGTAAGTGCCAGGTAAGTGGTATTTATGTTTGTATGCAATGGTGGTTTGAGAGGTTTAGAGAGCTCATAATCTGCACCCCCGGTGTTAGTGCTCCCGCCCGAGGCCAGGGCCCAGCCTTCACGTGTATGTTCACCAGCACCGCATGCTCGCCTTGGATCCAAGATAGGTGCAAGCCTGTCGTACAGACCACATTAGGTGGTTCCGACTTGTAGGTGACCCGCGATTTATCGCCCAGCTTCACGTGATCGTAGCACTAGAGCATACATATATACATTACACCCAGCCTGTCGTACAGACCACAGTAGGTGGTTCCGACTCGTGTGCAGATTCAGTTATTGAGTTGAGAGTGGAGCTCTAGATGCAGCCGTACAGGTCACGTTAGGTGACTCCCGGCTGCTAGATTATATATTATTGATGTGAATTACGTTTGAGCATTTATATTTGATTATGAGATTCAGAATGGCATATTATGGAGCATGAATGGCATATCATGGAGCATGATTGACATATCTATACATACGTTTATATGTTCATTTTCTGGGAAGTATACAGGTTTTACGGCGAGGGGTTAGAATGTATTTTGCTAAAGAGTTTTCAAAGAGCTTTGTTTTTGCCCACTCACGCTTTTGTTTTTGCGCCCCTCCAGGTTCTAGTGGTCTAGCAAGTTCGGTGGTTTATCCCAGAGGGCGTCCCGGCATTTCTGACAGACATTCACCATTGTAGGGTCACCTTCGGGTGTAAATATGTCGTATCTTTTCCTTTGGACTGTTGTAGACTTGCTCTGAATTGTGTCTCACATACACTAGTACTTTGTATGCTATTAGGTTTTTAATTATTCGTACTTTTACATTACTATACCTTTAGCTTCCGCACGCGCACATGGCTACGTCACCTTCGCGTGACGGCCAGCATGCCCTGATCTCGGTCGGGGTGTGTCAATTTTCATTAGTTTTCCTTATATATATTAATAATTTTAGGTTCCGTGAGATTTTGCCTCACGTCTTAAGCCTTTCTCCTAGGCAGGGTATTCTTAAAATGGCTTCATCTTTGCCTTTTAAAACGTTGTTTGATATTGAACGATCGAAAATGCTGTTACGTTTTTTTTTTTTGAAGGTTAGGTTTCTCTCCGACGGTGAAGAAATTTTTTATTTGATTGTTGATTATTCTACCATAATGTTTGATTTCGACTCTATTATTGATTATATTACAAATATATATAATATATATTAATAATTTTTGGTCCCGTAAGATTTTGCCTCACGCCTTAAGCCTTTCTCCTAGGCGGGGTATTCATGAAATGCCTTGGCTTCATCTTTGCTTTTCAAAACGTTGTTTGATATTGAACGATCGAAAATGCTGTTATGTTTCAGTGTATCTAAATGGAAAAGAATGATATGAATGATGAGAATTATACGTGGGGACATCAGAAAAGAGCTGTCAATTTGCTGAAAACATAGGTGCGTAACTATAAGTGCTTACAGTGTCCATGGCCATGCAATCGGCATCTTTCTTGATGCATCAAATCCGGCTAGACCCACCCCATTAATTCATAAATTAACAAATCCCCAAGTTACCTAATCTTTTATATATACATGTATGTAATTATCTGTGCCTCCCTGCCCCCATTTAATAATTCTTCCATCTTTCAGAGAATGCGGATTCCATTTTTGTCAACATTTGTTGTCCAGCACCCTTGGCTTTTCTGATATATTGTCACCATTTTATCTGTATTGCAGGATGATACCGGTCTTAGTCAAGGGAGCGTCTTGTGGAGGAGGGGACTCTATTCGGGGATATTTCTGTGACGGTATCTTAAGCAATCAACTAAGTATTATTATGAATTAACTTTTTCACGTATCGACAAAGGCATCTAAGCTGTACTTAAGTTCTTCTCGTTTTCAGGTATTGCCCCATTTGTCAATTGCTGACGAGGTGACACTCACATATATATAAAAGGAATTTCACTTTAAGAGGCTTTTACTTCTTTTGAAACTGTTTTTAAAATGGCTGAAATTGATTTTTGTAAAAATATTTTTAAAATCAATATTTAGTAAAAATGTAAGTGAATCTTGTGTAAGCACTTAAAGTGGATCTTGGAAGAGCATTTGAAGTGCTTCTTACAAGAAACACATAATTGGTACTTCTTACAAGAAGCACTTTAAGTGCTTTTAGAACCTAGAAATATTTTTCTTCAAAATAATGTTTGGTCGTTTTAAAAGTACTTACAAACGAGCCCTTAGTCAGATCAAGATCCTTAGAGTTGTATGTACCATTTCAAATATTTGACGTGTTACTGTGTCAGATCCATTAACCTGACACCAAATATTAAAACAAGAGAATTGGCATAACTTAAGTTAATAATTTGACAGCATAATAATATGTTTTAACAAGAGGGTGATGTTCTTTTCGTATGCGTATGTATGTATACGTATACTTCTAGAATAATGGGCCCCTTTTCAGATTTTAGGATGATGAGAAGAGAGCCCACAGGCGATACACACACCTCATTCTAAAAACATTGGGCTCCACTTCGAGCAGTCCAGTTCCCATTACGCGAGAAATTTTTCGATATGTTGGGAATACGGTTTAATACAATAAGTGTTATAAAATAAATTGTTGAAATTATTTTTTTTAAAGTTTTCAACCATTTGTATTATTACAGTTGGTATGTCGAGCTGTGTTTCCGGTATATTAAAAAATCTCTTCCACTAAGCTAGCACAGGAGAGTAGGATATGCCGGATTTCAGGTGACGTGGCTTTCGCAATAAGAATCCTACTTGCATTGCATGCATGGTCTGTGGTTGTACGGTTCTCCATTTTCATATTAATTTTTTCTTCCCTCTTTCAAATAATAATTATTTACATTTATTTTTCCATGTTTATTATTGGACGTCGTTACTTGAAAAATAATTAACATTATCTTAATCAAAATCCCGAAAACGACATTGCTCTGGAGTCCAATAAACAATTAGGCAGGCTATATACAAATGGTAAAAATTGCATCACCATTTCTTTCTTTTCCTGGAGCAGTTGGGAATAGGATCGTATGGAATTGGAATTAAATATAATCACGTGGTACAACATGTCACATGTTAATACATGAAAGAACAATACAGTTAATGTATCTCATTTTAAAGTATGCATTAAATCCTTTATAGTGGTGGTTATTTTGGTTTTTACAAAACTTAGAGCCAATTTAATTTTGCTTTTTAGGTTACTATTTGAATAAAAACATCTTTTTAACAAAAAAAAAATAAGGGATCTTGCTTAGCACTCTACTTTCTTCACAGTAACAACATCGAAAGCACGACTTGGCCAACTAAGGCCAAAAGCGTATCGACGGTAGATGGGACGAGCCAACAGGTGCACACAAAAGGCGGACCGGTTGACCCAACCCAAGGTCCAACTACGAGCTTTTTAATTGCAGCAACTTAAATATCAGTTATCGGAGCTGGAATTATCGCGGTTTCTGGGACTAGACTTGCTCTTCAATGGATCCTCATTAAGGGATTTAGATTGTACTCATTCCAATTACCAGACTTATAAAGCCCGATATTGTTATTTTTGTTTCAATGCCTCCTCGTGTCAAGATTAGGTAATTTGTGTGCTTGCTATGTTCCTAAGATGTGTTAGCTGTTTCTCAGGCTTCCTCTCCGAAAACGAACCCATAATTCCCCATCCCCCGTCACCACCATGGCAGGCCACTATCCTACCACGAAAGTTGATAGGGCAAATATTTGAATGAGGCATTGCTAGCACAATGGATGTGCGATCCGTCGAGTTATCATGAATCATTAGAACAACGAGTAGAGCCAGTGTTGACCTTTTATCTAATAAATGCATCTCTTTCAAAAGTTGGGGTTTATGTATACATTAACTCTAGAATTACTACGGTTATCCAGATAGCAAATACCATTAAACAAACTATAACTAATTTAATGAGTCATTCACAGTTTCACTATTTGATTTTTTTCATGCTTACACATGCATGACTTAATCCACACATTTTATAATGCGTGACTTAGTTATAACTCGTTATTGTATTTTAGTTCGACATAATTCTATGGCTCGAATCTTTAGTATTCTCTTATTTATTACCTGTGTTTACTATTCTCTACAACGACTTGAGCAGTAGTCTACACTATATGTTTATTTACTTGGTCTGATGGAAGTCATGAATTAGTTAAGGGAAAAAGTAATGTGATTCGAACTATAGTCCTCATAGTTGATTTGATTCTTAATTTTTCAAGTATTTGATTATGGATTTCAAGTTAGATCCCGTCAATTCCATATGCGAAGAGAACTTAGAAATTGGAATGATTTCAATACCCGTATTTTAACGTACGCAGGAAACTGAAAATCAAAATCATTTTGATTTCTAACATCAGTAAGTATAAACGTGTTATAAATTAAACTAAGGGCTCTTTTACTTAACAAATATGGAAAGAGGAAAGAATCAGAAAGTTTAAACATAAGAGAAGTAAGAAAAGGGAATCATATCAACTAGTCCCCTAATTAATTTAATTTTTAATTAGGAAAGTATTATTGACACTCCAAAAATCTCATTCTACACTTCTCACAAGCGTATTTTTCTTTCCTAATATAGAAAGTTTAGAGTGTAGAATGAGATTTTTGGAGTGCTAATAACAATTATCTTTATTTATTAGGTATTTGATTACGAATTTCAAAAGAAAATTTACACTTTTTCGATTTCCTACGTATAGGTAAACGCAAAAAAAAGTTAAAATTGTCTAGTAATTTCGTTACTTATATTTCAGTAAACGCAAGAAACTTAAAAAAATCAAAATAGTTCTAATTCTTATTTCTTGTAAATAAACATGTTCTAAACTGCTGATAAATGATTCAAACTTAAGTGAAAAGACGAAAGCGTATTGGTGTGACTAACTTAGGCTAAAATCACCATGGCTATGGTTGACTGCCAAGTGTCACCAACCCATTTCTCAGAAGACTCCTTCAAAGTTCAAACATTTTCATCTCACACCAAAACAACCCTCACAGAGCCACAGTAGAAAACAACTCTGCACCTTCCCTTCTCTCCAATTCCTCCCTTTAAAAATCCCCATGCTCTCACAAACTCCCACCAACCAAAACTCCACCACAATGCTCAAAATCCTCAACAAGAAGCTCCTCCGCCTCTGCTCCCTCCTCCGCTGGCCGGCCCGCCGCCGTTCCCGCACTAAAGTCGTCATCAAAAAGTTCGGAAAAACAAGCTCCAGAAAATCCCAACCCGAAAATGAAACCAATGCCACTCATGCGTTGGCGGCAGTACACCCCAATACCGACTCAAAACCAGAGCGGCCGATTCGGGTGGCGACTTTCAACGCCGCTCTCTTCTCAATGGCGCCGGCGGTTCCGAAAGCCGAGAAATTCGGGAACTTGGACGGCGAAAATGGAGGTAGTAGCTTGAAGCTTCATAAGCACGTTAGTCGAACAAAGTCTTCGGGAAGCGAACGTCCGAAGAGCATTCTGAAACAGAGTCCCCTGCATCCGAATCCAATGAACAATTCGGATAATCTCACGAAACAGCAGAAGTTTTCGAAATCTAAGTTAAGGGTTTCGATCAATCTGCCGGATAACGAGATTTCGCTGCTAAAAAACCGGCAGTTGAGCTTTTCGGAAGGCAGAGCAAAGGAAGATGCTTTTTCTCTGGTCACCGGAAAATCGACTCTTAGATCGTCGAGTTTGGGATTTTCTGGAGTTTTAAGAAGTGGGGCTGCGGCGGATGGAGATTTGTACACAAGTCATCGGACGGTTCTTGAAGTTTTGAGAGAGATGGATGCTGATGTTTTGGTGCTGCAGGATGTGAAGGCGGAGGAGGAGAAGGATATGAAGCCGCTGTCTGACTTGGCGGCGGCGTTGGGAATGAATTATGTTTTTGCCGAGAGCTGGGCGCCGGAGTACGGCAACGCTATTTTGTCGAAATGGCCAATTAAGCGGTCCAAGATCGTCAAAATCTTCGACGACACCGATTTCAGGTTAGAAATTCTCTGCGCATAACGTCCATTTGTCAAAATATGAATCTTTATTCCATAGCCGAACTATTAACTTGACCAAGTAAAATTCTCCATATATTAACAGTTTATTAAATTACGAACGTCCGTTTTGTAGTCGGATTATTAATTTCTCATTAAAATCCTGTGTCTTTTGATAGGGATGATAATTATACTGCTTTTATGTTGACTAATTAAAGTGGTCTAATTCCAAAGCAAATATCTTTCATTTGAATGCAAAGTTTATGGTCCCAAACTTTACAAAAACAAATTTAAAGACATTTTCACTTGTTTTTATCTCTTCCTTTCTTTTATAAGGTCATCAATTATTATAAAATTCCAAACTTTACTACAAATTACAGTCTAAAATTATTTGGGTAACTTTTCAAAGGCCAGGGCATATTTGCCCATATCAGAATTGGAGAAATTTTTTTTAACGAAAACTAATGAAAATGGCTTGAAAACTTTGAGTTTTAACGAAAATAAAAAAAATGTGTTGTAAGTGAATAGTACTAGGATTGACTTTTTAGAGTAAAAATGTGGTTTTTCGTTAAAATGAATAGTACCGAGAGCTTTTCATTAAAGTTTCATTTTTTTTATTGCCGAGAACATAATACGGTACACAAATATCATAATACAATGTATTATATACTTGAAAATAAAAATTGAACTACTTTTATTATGACAATATACTGAACCGTACTTTTGGCAGACTGAAATGTTTCACTCAGAATTGATACCAGTTTTTTAAATAAATTCGATGGTCTATCTGTTTATGTGCTTGAATTGCCTGTCTGGGTTGTCTTTACGTATTTTATGTATTAGGTAGAAACTTTTGGTGTTTTACTGGGTCTGTAATTATCTCACTAACAGCTGTGTTCTGCAGAGTTGTCAACCAAATTTGTAAATTTTTAATATTATCTTCTGATTTTTCTCATGACTTCCACATTCATTCATTCATTCAATTTTAACTCACCGAACTCACGTTTGTACCTAAAATTCGAGTTCACAGATGTAACTGTTGGCTGAGAAGTTAGTTGAGATTGTACTTGATGGATTGGAACTTGGAACCAGAGAGAGAATTGCTTGCATTATTATCTGATGAGGTTTCTTTTGGGAAAGGTTTGAAATGATGGGAAAATCATTTCAGAAGGCCTTAATCCTACTTAGCTAATCTTAAGCCCCCTTTTAATGAAAGCGAAATATCTCTGTTAACAAGTATTATAAAAGTAAATATTAGGTAAGGACTAAGGAGTGCATTGGCGTCCCTGCAAGTCTGCGATATAGGTGGATTATATTAATTAAATAATTTGCATGATTGAAAGGGCAGCATTCCCCTTAACTATTTGTGATTTATTTTTTCGGAGTAAGATTTTCTTCTTTCCCACCAGTCGCTCCTCTCCTTCTCCTTTTTCTTTTTTTTAATTATTTTTTTAATTAAAAAAATCAATGTCAGATGTTTACGTAGATTAATCGTGACCTTTCAAATAAAATAGGACTAGAAGAGAAGAAAATTATACTCATTTTTTTCTGTTAGCAAAGAACATCATGATTAGTGCCAAGTTAAATCATTTAAGTGAAAAGTGAAAATCAGGCATAAAGATGAAAGTAGGTTACTCTAGGATGGTCGCTCTCTTGCATCTATGTTCGAGTCTTCACTTAAATGATCATAATTTAGAATATGCTTTGTAATTAAAAAATATGTTGATTTAGGTTAGGTCAGTTAGTTAAGATAATGTGTCAAACTCCTTACATTTGAGTTGGAGTCTCATTTCTATAAAGTGAAGTAGTTTAGAATATTATCGTGTAAGGCAAAAAGATTAATTGAATTTTGGGTGCTTGATGAAAACGACACACAGGAATGTCCTGAAGGCCACCATTGATGTTCCTGAAGCTGGAGAAGTAAACTTCCATTGCACCCACCTCGATCATCTTGATGAGAGCTGGAGGATGAGGCAGATCAATACTATAATCCAATCAAGCAATGAGCCCCATATCTTGGCTGGAGGCCTCAATTCTTTGGATGAGTCAGACTATTCTCAAGAAAGATGGACAGATATTGTAAAGGTGAGACATGATTACACTTCCAAATTATCAGAAATTCTCTGTGCAGGACATCCGGCTTTTATCAAAAAGATCGATTTTGTATGGATAACATGTCTATCCGTTTTGTTATTGACATCTAATCTATCAATATTTTCAGCAATTCGTCCTTTAAAAAAAGGAAAAAAAAAGTCATGTTGAGAGAAGAACTGTACAAATTATATACTTAACAACCCTTTAATTTGTTTTGGCTGCAGTATTATGAGGATATGGGGAAACCAAGGCCTAAGGTTGAAGTAATGAGATACTTGAAGAGCAAGCAATACACAGATGCTAAGGACTTTGAAGGAGAATATGAGTCAGTAGTGATGATTGCCAAAGGCCAAAGTAAACCAACCCGAAACCCTAACATTAACTTATTAACTGGTTTGCACTTCAGCACTACTGTTTTTCTAAATGCCTAAATTTGTACTTTGACGCAGGCGTGCAGGGAACATGCAAGTACGGAACGAGAGTCGATTATATATTGGCATCTGCAAATTCACGTTACAAATTTGTTCCTGGATCATACTCAGTGTTTTCTTCCAAAGGAACATCAGATCATCATATAGTAAGAGTTGATGTGGTAAAAGTGGATAACTGTGTTGAAGAAAATAACACCAGAAGAAGGCAGGTGAAGCAGAAAGTTACCAAGATAACAAACACTACTTCTCCATCAAAAGGGATATGGAAAATCCCACATATATGAAGAAAAAAACACAGATAATAATTGACTTTTACTTTTGACAGTGTAGGTTTAGGGTTTGGTTTGTTGAAGGAAGGGCAGGTTTTGGCTTTGGATCTGCTTTTACCTCCTACAGTTAGTAGAATATTCAGTGTCTGCATGGGTTGTTGGGGATAGAACGTGCCAAGGGAAAAGTTGAAATTTGATGTGGTTGGTTAGCAATTTCTTACTTCTTCAAATTGTACAGCAGAGTTATAAAGTAATATATTTTGAGAGTGATTTCTTTGGGGTGGTGCTATATATCCATACAAGGAGAAATTTTTAGTTGTGACAGGAACACAAGTGGTACATTATATGTTTTAATAGGAATGATGAGTTTATTTTTTAAGCTATTAACTTTTTAGCATACATATCTCACCTTTTGTATAGTGACATGTGGTGTACCACCCCGTGTACCAGTCACGTTGAAAAATCTCTCCCATGCGAGAAAGACTTGCGTCCTCAAGGATTGAGAAACCCTTTTTGTAATACCTTGTGGTCCACTCACAATATTTTATGCTTATAATCGAAACTTTTTATATTATAAATCACTACGTAAAGATTATCTCTACTAAAATCAATTAAAATTAAAATCTTTTAGTCATCGAACTTCATAAAAATCAATTGACATGTTCAATAAAAGCTTTACAAACTATCTATTCATTTTGCTACAATTTAATAACTAAACAATCTTATTTTTAATTGATTTTTTTTTGTAGAGATTATCTTTGCATATATAGTAATTTATAATATGAATAGTTTCAATCTAAACATAGAGTTCTGTAAATGTTGTTTAGAGTTCTATAAATAGGCCACAAAGTATTTTGAAGATGAACTCCGCCTTAACCTTAAGGAGTCAAACTCTTTTCATCCATACACTATTTTTACTTTCCACACACACCTCTAAATTTTTGACTGACGGATCAAATGAATTGAAGTAAATCAAATGACATAAATTAATAGGGTTTTGTGAGAGATAAAAAGAGGTGTGTGTGTATAACACCACCCTTTCTTTCCTTGTTATTTGCTTTTCATTTTGTTACACCAAACATTAAATAGCATAAGTGAGTTAGCTAGTAAATAGTTAATTAGTAGTGAAAGGGAAGTATGTAAGGATCAAATCTGCATCATAGTGCATGAAGATAATTACCTTCAATCACTGCAGTAAAGTATCTTCTGCTCCTATAGATGAGACTGATGAGTATGCATTTCGTTAATTTGACCATTAATCTAGTCAACCTTCCACATTAAGTGCGGTCTTATCTTATATTTTGGTCAACAAGTGCACTCTTATTCATGAGTGAATCATCTACCCATGTTAGTTTCACTCTTTAATCAACTAAATCCTTCTCATTTCTTAATACATAATTCAAGGGTGTGGCACAAGTAACAACTATTGCAAAGGGAATTTTGTCCTCAATATGTAAGACATATTTTCTTCATCAAACCATCGTATTTTGTGCAATCGATAAGAATAAATTATGCAAAACAAGGTCCTATAAGTTATTATATGGCCTAGGAGTTTGAAAGTAAAACCCAAAGAGAAATGTTTATGGGGAACTCTCTTGAAGTGGGATTTTTAGACTGTCTGTCACCTTACAGTTTAACAGCATTTATCGTGTAAATATTATAAGACATTGTGCAAAAAATATGCAGTTGCAGAGAATCCATGGAGAGTCCCACTTTTGAGAAAATCCCCTTAGCATTTCTCAAAACGTAAAACAATATTCCAATTAAAAAAAAAAACATAAACCCAGATGAAGTTTGACCATTTGTTAAAGAAAAAAGAACAAATGAATCTTGTACAATTCCTAGTAAATTCTTTGGTTTCTTCCTGAAGAAGATGTTTACATGTTTCATGAATAATCGGGACATTAAGGAATATCCAGAAAGACATTTAGGGAATCGATCTGATTCTATCTCTGTTCATTCCGTTTGAAGAAAAGAAAGATCCCAAAAAATTAATATTTCTTTTAGTTGTTGAATCTCTTTTTGATTGATCAATATGTGATATTCTAAATACTCATTACTAATAGAATCGAAATGATCTGCGGATTGATCAGAAACTGAAACAAATAGTGTCCAATTAGGCCAAGTCCAAGAGTCCAAGTTCCATATCAACTTGGGTGGCCACATAAAAGAAATCAAGTGATTGGGTTATCACGTATATTAGCATGGCCCAATTGGAGTACATGCAACATGCAAAATATAGTCTGTATCTTTCTCCACACGTGTTAAATCAGGCGAGGTAGAACATAGAGAAAAGATAAATATAGTCAGTTAGAAGTAAGTTTCTTTTCAACACTTAAAAGTATTATATTGAATATGACCTCGGATGTTCCAACGTCACCTTTTTAATTTATTGTGGGGCGTCGAAATTGTTTATGCAAAAAAAATCACAAGAAAAATTTATGTAGAGCATCCGATATATTTCATATGATAACTCTTATAAAATATAAATACATTTTATTTTAGTCACATTCAACTTAATATTGATTCCTCATGTATTTTAAAGATTGATCTAATCAGACAGTCTATCCAAACTTTCGACCCAATTTATCTCAACGCACAAACATTCAAACAAATTGCAGAGCGAATAAGATGATATTGGTGTTCAAGGCCATGCAAAATTAAATAAAATAATAATAAAGAGGACAAACTGAATATTTATATATTTTTTTTGGTCGGATGAAATCTCCAAAATACACCTTATTTAATTCAAAGATTAAGAAAAACCATGCTCAAATCACTTATTAATCCGACCTAATCCAATCTAAATTATAATTAACTAAAGTAATCATGCACCATCAACTGGTTCTGATCTTTCTCAAAGCTGTAAATCACAGAAGTTGCTTCTTCTTTTTCTTCAGATGGCTGCTTCACAATCGCCCGGCGTTGGTCCTCCTCCATGAAAATCAAGAGCCGTCCGTCGCTCCTGATTTTGGTCATGGTGAATCTCGGCCGTCCGTTCCCCTTCAGCGTTGACAACAACGGCGGGAAGTCCCTCCTCATTCCGTCGCGAGCTGCTGCCATTGTCACAGCTAGGAGTAGTCGCACACTACTTTTATTATGGGACTAATTTCTCTCTGGTTTCTCGTATCATGAAAAGATAAATAGTTCTTCAACCCAATTGTGCGAATATTTATAACGATTTTGATTCGTCTCACCTTGTTCTAACATGAATTACAAATTTATTGTATCGGTTTGGCTTTTCCTTACTAGTTAATTTACTCTCCTAATTAGATTTGGAAGGGTGTTAATGAATTACTTGGCACCACATTAATTACTAAAATAAATTAATTGTAAATGTATGTGCCAAAACATAAGTGAAGTACATATGTAGGCTTGACAATTTTTTGCACAGTTATTATGACCCAATTAAACAAAATGCGATTACAAAGGGCTAGCTCTATTAAAACTTAAACAAGAGCTTTCATGTCAAGTTACATAATGTACATTTTTTTTTATCTTCTCGTAGCGTGTAAAGTCATGTAATTAGAGAGGCAGAGATAAAAAATTCTGCATACTATTATAAGTTTATCTTCATCACGTAAAAGCTTTGTATTGAATGCGAGTTTATGTGTCCAAAGATAATTCGTTGATGTATTGTTGATGTACAAAGCAGTTTACGATCTATAGCCAAACCTCAATTGAAATATATGTATAGGCGTGCCCCAAAATTTTCAAAGGCATCTATTGGCTGTACCCAAAGTAATTCGTAGGGAAATTCTCTATATCGTTGTACTTAAAAAATGTTACTAAATATCATGTATTTTGGTCGTACTCAATTCTACGTACGTTTGTTTAAATTAAAGTGAGAATTGCCCAAGAGCATCTTCAAAGGAAATGTCAAAATGCCCAAATCAGCAATAACAGTAATAAAAGACAGCATTAATGTTTCCCAATCAAGAAGCCAAATCTGATGTGGCATAACATAAAATGACATCTCTCCCCCTTACTGCTAAATTTGACAACACTTTCAGATTTTTTTTTAATTAATTATTAAATGTTTTTTTTATTAATTTTTATTGGTTTAAAGCATTATCCTTTCTTTTCATTCACAATGCAAAGAAAATATATATGAATTTTTATTTTATGTTTAAAATTTGGCATATCGGTTGGAAAACAAAACTTTAAAAGTTGTCAAAGTGCCACTTAAGCCTTCAAATTTAAATTTTAGGTTTAAAATTTGACATCTCCTTTGAAGATGGTCTAATCAAGTAACCCCACCAAAGTTTCTATATTCTCAAGAAACAAAAATTACCAATTGTACAAATTCAAAAAGGCAGGCCGAATATAATTATGTGAAAACATCCAAATACAACTTATGAAAATTGAACAATTAATTCGACCATCTAATGTAAATTATATGTAATTAATCAAGTAAAGTAATCGTGCACGATCAATTGGATGTGATCTTGTTCAAAACGGTAACACAGGTTGCCTCCTCGCCTTGTCGTTTTTTTACAAGCGCCGGCGTTGGTTCTCCGCCGCGAAATCAAGAGCCCTCCGTCGCTCCTGACTTTGGTCATAGTGAATCTCGGCCGTCCGTTTCCGTTCAGCGTGGACAACAATGGCGGGAAATCATTCATCCTCCTCCTCACTCCTCCTAGAGCTGCCATTATCACAACATTAATTGTGTACAAGATTAATATAAACTAGATTTTGTAAACTAAATAACATGGAAGCTAATGATTGGATTATTACTTAATTGTTAATAAATGTACTTATTTTTTATTAGTAACATATCATTTAGTTTTCAAATTTAGTGTACAAATTTAGTTTACCTATCATTACTCTTTTGCCCTTAAGGGATCAATGTTCTCCTCCACATTTTGCTCTCCAAATCGATGTTGTACTTGCCGTGTAATTCTGTTTAAAGTTCCGTTAGAGTGATGATGCGACACTTTAGGTTGTCATAGCACCAAATATTTTTAGAGGGAAAATGCTAGGGAGACCAAATTTGCAAATCAAATGACATGTCATCAATAGGAAATAAGCATGTTAATCAACATTTAAGTAATAATTTAATTATCAACATTCACATCATTTAATTTACAAAATTTAGTTTAGAAATTAAGTCTCCACATTACCCTTTTTCAAAGTGATGTCAACTCATCATTAGTAAGAAATGTAAACTATTGCAATATACACTCATTTCCATGCAATGGCGTGCATGTTCGTCGCTCATCATTGGTATCATTTAATTTAGAGATTTTTCAATACGTTGAGAACATGACT